TTTTTTTTGTTGTAGTACATGGTAGTGACATCATAAATGGGGAAAAGGCCCCAGAGAACTCAATGCAGTATGTGGTCTCAGTGCAGAACATTTATGGCCATATATGTGGAGGTTTTCTTGTCACTGAAGACTTTGTGGTAACTGCTGCACACTGTGACATTGAGTAAGTAATCAGTCTTCTCATGATGACCTCTTTGACTCGTGTAACTACATCAATTTAATTGATGGCTCTTAATGATTGTCTTCCTTCAGAAAGCCCACACATGTTGTCCTTGGCAGCCACAATATCAAGAAGGGTTATCAAATAAATATTGAAAAAAAATTTAAGCCCCGCTCTTACTCTAACGTTTGGTTGGGAAATGACATCATGCTCCTTAAAGTAAGTATGTATTCATACAATCAACACTTTCAAGTGCCATAATTGTTGATTTAATGATTTCCATTCTAATAACACTGCTAATATGTTATGAAATTAAGAATTTGGGATTTTTCTCTATCTAATGTGTTTCTCCAGCTGTCTAGGAAAGCTCAGCTAGGATGCAAAGTACAAATAATTCAACTTCCATGTGCTGAAATGAACGTAAAAGCAGCTGAAGTGTGCCAGGTGGCTGGTTGGGGAAGAAATAGAACTGGTGGTGAAAATGTCGATGACCTGAGAGTGGTGAGCGTGTCCGTCATTAACCAATATGTATGTAGGGAACAATGGCCCGGTCTTCCTGCCAATGTTATCTGTGCAGGTGGATACGGCACAGACAAAGGATTCTGTCAGGTATGGCTTCTGCTTTCATTGAATGTGTCTGCTTGTTTCTTGTTGACAAATACCCGAACGACCTAAATTAAATATGAAATGGATATTTTCCCTATTTCTTCCTGACAGGGTGATTCTGGTGGTCCTCTGGTGTGCAACGGGTTAGTTGTTGGTCTTGCTTCTTTCAACAAAAATTACAACTGTGCTTATCCTGATGTACCCAATATCTACACAGACATCTCCAAACACCTTAAGTGGATCAATGGGATTCTGCTAACTGCAACATCTTCCTAAAAATGTGTTTTTGTGTTGCTACTGTAGAAGCAAAAGATAAATGAATAAAAAAAATAATGGCTGTCTGTCATTACCAGAGTGACAAAATAGCAATAAAAATCTATCCCAAATTTTCTGTCTAATTTCCTTTTGTAATAATCTTAGTTTACAAAACAACAAGAAACAAGAATACTATAGAGGTCATTTTTGTCTCAGGTGAAGGCCAACTAACGTCTTTTTTATAGCTTCTTTGAGATCTAAAAAACTGAATACTCTGAGAAAGCTTACTTCAAACTTTTTTTTCTCATGTACAGATACTCGCTGATGCACACAGGGGCAAACAAAAGCTACGTGAGCTACATGTTTTGACTGCCATGATTAATCGTTAATACAATTATCATAGTTTTTAAGATAATATTAAGATATTTATATAAACTTTAACAAAATTTGGTTAAAAATGACAAATTTAGATCTAATGAGAAAGATGCAAGAAACAAAAGATGGAAAAGTGACTAGTCCAACACTTAACAAAGCAGTGTTGGATAGGTCTTCTACCCTAATTATTTGATTGAAGAAAAGTTTAGCCCATCTATTTTATCACCCACAGGCTTGACTTTGCCTCAGAGGACTTGCTGCAGTTTGAGGTCCACAAATTTAATTCAGTTCACAAACTTTTGTTCACTTTGACTCTGTCTTTGGCTCAGTTTTACAAGGGACTTTTTTATTTGACTGAATCTGGCAAATACTTTTTTGATTACAAGTGCAAACATACTAACACTATCTTGTAAAATACTGCCACCTACTGGTGAAAGACAAGTCACAAGTTTGTCACATGGCTACCACAGACAGCCATTCATTCACAAAGTCAGAGGTATGGTCAATTGAGAATTGCCAAGTAACCTAACAAGCATGCGTCTAGACTGTGGGGGGTAACAGGAGAGAACCTGTGTATAGGGGAGAACATGCAAACTTTATACACTAACTTTATACAGAAAAGCCTCAGCCTGTGGATTCAAACTAAGTAAAAAATCTCACCTGCCTGGCTTATCACCTTCACATTTGTTCAGTTTAATTCAGTTTTGTTTA